AGTACATAGAGGGAAACAGATAATGGAGCCACAGGACCAACTGAATGAATATCTTTTGAGCTTCATTTGGAAAGAGATACTTTCAAAAAAAAGTCGCAAACAACTTTAATGTATATTCCGAAATAGATGAGAACATAGAATTCCATCTTTTTCGAAAGTGGCCTGCCGAACACACAAAACCTTCTCCCTGCCATGTCAGCAGGTTCGCTTACCATTTAATGGCTTAGAATTATACAGCAACAGATCCCATAGAAGTAATTGCGTCTATCCATACATTAAACAAAACTTGATCACTTAGGGGGTATACTTTGATACTGTCTGGGACAGTCAGTTAGAAGACATTCTTTCATTAGGTACCATCTTTCATCTGATACAACCGCAAGGAAAAAGAGCTAACCTTGAAACAATGTTGGCTGAATGAAATATATCCCCATGCCGGATTTCCGCTATTACTCTCAGACGACTGTTAGTAAAGAGTGCAATTTAAAACCAGATAAATTCGAAAACACTTTTTATGAAAAACTAGACCAATTGAAAAGGACGGTCACTACTCTTACCTGTAGCGAGTGAAGGTAGTCAATACAGATTGAAAATCTGCAAGACCGTTGCTATAGCCTTCCCTACGTACTACACTCTTATCACCTTCTTGTTTAATAAGAGGTTGGTCTACCAACTGACGCCGTTTTTGGAGGTAACATTCTTGTAAATCATTGAACTACAAGACAGGGCACTTAAATATTATTAGCCAATCAAGTCTATAAATTAACAAGCAGCTATAGATAGATACAAAGGACCTTGCAAGATTTTAGAAGAAAACTATTGCAATTATCTAGATGACTTTTGGTGTTCCAATTAAGAGAGACAAGAAGCGGCTACTATCATTACCAAGAGAAATAAAGTCCAGAACACTATTCTTATTCCTACAAGCAAACAATGTGAGATTAATAACTCTCAGAAGCCAACTCGCTTATTATACAACCCACTAAAATGGTGAGCTTTAATTAAAGGCCTCTTTCAGTAAGAAGACTCATATCCTACCACAACCTCATATTCTCGAGCTGCCGATCCAGCTGACTAAGAGAAATGTGGCTAGGCATGGTACTAATTGTAGCACAATTACTGGGGTTTAATGCTAAGAATTCTAATTCCTCTTTAACAGAAAAATATCAGAAACTTTATACCATTTTGGTGACATGTTTTAAGATGATGAGAAGGAACAAACCTGAGCATGTATTCGTTTCTTTCTAGCCATTGAGACAGTTGATTGATTCAAACTTTGGGAATCTGACCCACTCAATGCGTCTTTCTTTGGTAGACCATGTGAGCTTCCATGTGCCTTTCCCTCTACCTTTTTGTTTTGATAATTTCCTAATGAATTTCCTCCTCTCATGCTCAGAGAATTGGAGTTGAAACCACTGTGGTTCTTCTCAAGTGGCCATGCATTTCTTGTGCTTGGATCATCTCCAAGCATCCGCAACTTCACAGAATACCTATCCCGCGCACGGTATAAATCTATTCTATGTCTCTCAACAGCATTTATATCCTCTTTAATATACTGAAGATCCGTTTGCACCTACAATTAGATGGTAAAAACATCATCAATGGCAGAATTCCATAAATTTTCGTTTGTTTCTAAGAACTCATCTAAAACATTTGTGAATTACGTCTCACGAATAGTTTGATTAATTTATTGATAGAAAAGATTACTTTCTTCCTTTCACAGCATCTATACCCATGCAAGAACCTCGCTGAAGCTAATAAGTTCGAATGCAATGGAATGAGAGCAACAAGAATAATAATTATTAATAGGTAGCCCAATGCTACTCCATAATCCAGGCAAACCAACCTCATTTAGTTCATCGACTTTCTGCTTCCTCAGACAATGCAAAAAGTCCAACAGTATCTGCATGTTCCTCTCGGCTTCTTCCTGTTCCATTTTTCTCTTCCTTTCCGCAAGAAGTGACAGAAGATTATCAACCTCTTTAATTGACACATCACAACCCTGTCTAAGGATGAACACAGAAAGTAAAAATATGATCAAAAGAAATGACTTTAGACAAAGAATTTTTTTTTACATCAACAATAAATCTGAGAATGCCAACTTAAAGAGGAAGAGTGGAAGATGAAAGGCTTGTCAAGAACCGACCCTTTGTAGTGCTTCCCGAAACTGATCTAAAGGCGATGCACTTTTTGACACATGCCGAGCTGAAGTTTTCTTCAATAGCTACACAATTGGTACAAAGAAGTCATATAATAAGCTGCATTTCAGAGATAAATATATTCAATACAGTATATAACAGTTTCTTTAACCAAGTTCCAACTTCAAGTTCAGAAGAAAGAACAAGTCCATGATTAAACATCATAAATTTAGTTCTCTCAACTGCGATAAGAAAATTCCTACCATAAACTACTTTTGGAAACAAAACCGCTCCTTGGTACTATCAGGAACTTCAATCACAGAGTAAAGATCACTGCATCATTATCACCTCTATTGATGTTCTCAAAGAGATATAAGTTAATTCATGTAGTCTTTTCATTGAAAATCTCATGCTATGGTTCATTGGCATTCAGTTAAAGACTAAGCAGCTTCCTCATTTCCACAAAAACCAAGACAAAAACCGAACTTGATTTCAAGCTAAGACTTAAAAAATCAGCACACAAACTTGAGTTTGAAAAGCTAAGCCACCAAAAACCACAGAATATTCAACTAACGTCGACCCATAAAAGCATATAACTGACTCTGCAAGCACAATTCTGAGTAAAATCAGAAAGGAAACCTTATCGAGCAAAAAATTAGGGTAAAGCTGATTGTTAGTGAGATGTTGGCTACAACAGGGACAATCACTCTTGTTCCTAAGGTGTGTGATGATACACATATAGCAGAAACTATGTCCACAAGCCGTGAGGAAAGCATCTTTTATAATCTGCATACAAATCGGACATAGCAAGTCTTTATCGAGATCCGGAGCTCCAATCTCTGAACCACCGTCTCCACCGCTTCCTCCGTCGTCATTTTCAAGACGGTGAACACCTTCGCCAACGGAGGATGTTCTCGGATCGGGTTTTACAGCCGGAACCGTCGAAATCTCATCCATAATTTTGTTTTTCTCCCTTTCGAATTTTTTTTTCTTCGATCGTATTTTTTTGTGTGTTTGGGAAAATCGGAATTGTGAGAAAGAGTGGTGGGGATGACGGAGATGAGGAGGAGTGTGTGGGATCCACGGTGGTTGTTTTTCTGAGGATACGAAAGATACACGTTGTTTACTTACGCGCTTGCTTTTGGCGCGTGTGGCTCACGTTTCTTCATGTGCGGGTACGAGTCATTTTTTCCCGGTCGGATTTCCGGTTTATATATTGGTTTGAACGGTTTACGAAATTGGAAGCCATAAAAATGATTTATATATAATCAAAAATGTGATAATATATCAATTTTTACTCGGACAAATTCAA